TGTTCAGTTTCCTTGTCGTACTCGTTCCTTTCTGATCCCGTGGGCAGTGCCTGCTCATGGACAGCTGGGAAGCGGAGAGCGACAAGGTCACATCTGTCTGTGGAAAGCTCCCTCTGGCTGTGGGGTGGAAGTTGAGTTCAAAGAGGATGAAATGGAATCTGTGAAAGTGTGTAAAAGCCTCAGAGGGATTACAGTTGTGTTCAGGCATCTGAAGCCACCTTCCTGTGCCTGGCATATCTGTACTGTGATGTGCTGATTGAAATTGGCAAGGGGCAGGCAGTGTAATGGTGTCTCCAAAGAGACCCAGCTGTGGCCACCAGTCTGCCTGCCGGGTAATATTGCCTAGAGAATTCATGGGGATCTCCACCTTCCAGATGCACATCCCCCAGAGTGATTGGGTTTTCACCAATGAGAAGCTGACCTATCAGAATGCTGGGTTCCCCGTTTAAAATGAGAAACACAGCTGCCGCAGGGACAGAAGTGGGTCAGCCTGGCTCCTGGAAGCAGTGGTGGGTACCAGGCACTGAAGGTCTGTCCCCAGGCATGGCTCCAGCAGGCTCTGGGCCAGGCAGGAAGCTCCACCAGCCAGCCACCTGCCCCCAGCCACCTGCCCGCCTTTTCCCTTCTTCCACAGGACCACCCAGCTCCTTTTGAAAAGGAGCATAACCTTCAAAAAGTGTCTTTCGATTGATTATTGCCAAGTCTTGATCTTTGGGTAATTATGTATGTTAGCTTTTTATCCACTGTGTGTTACTTTTATCAGGACATTTTTGAAGATCATAAAGTGTTTTGTTATATGCATTGCTTGCTTTTATTGCTTCTCTTTTTCTCACTTTAGCAGTAGGAAAATAATAGGTTAGTTCTTGATTATTTGTAGCAAAAAATGAACTATTACATCTCTTATCATAGAAAGAATTTTCTATAATTGGATTTAAATCACTGGTTAGTGTTTTTCATAAAAGAGGATTATATTAATTTAGGTACCATTAAAAATGACATTTAACAACTGATCAAATTCAGTGTAAAGGGTGATTATTTGGAAAGGTTTATTTTCAAACAAGAAAAAATATGCATCAGAAAATGGGAAAGTGTTGGGAAAGTTTTAAAGTGATTATTTTTTTTCGCTTCAACTTTTCCCTCCTTTGCCTAACCTTGTGTCTGAGTTTCGGAAGATCTGTTTCTCCCACATTCTGTCTGGAGTTCCGTCTTCTTTGTGTCACTGGTTAAGTAATCACGCGGATGCTGGTTTCTTCATTCAAGAAGCATCCAGCTGGGGCCTTGTATTTGATGGAGACTTGAGACCTACTTCCTGCCATCAGAGGTCAGGGTTGAGAGGCTCCCTGAGAGCAGCAGGTGCAGACACACAGACACACACTTCTCCCTGCCTTCAGGAAGGCTGGGTCATGCCTGAGCTGAGACTTGCAGGTGAAGAGATGTTCACCAGGTGGACTGGGTCGGAAAAGCAGTGCATTGCAAAGTTGGGAGTGGGGAGGGTGGTGAGCAGGGCAGGGTGCAGCCATGGGGACGTGGTCTGTGTCATGCCAGGGCATTATTCTTCTAGGCAGAGGGGTCCAAAACAGCCTTTATGCCAAGTCATGAAACTCAGAGCCACACGCCCTTATTGGTGTGGGATGTGGAAATCAGAGCTTAAAGACCGTGAGGTCTGACCTGGGAAGTGACTGTTTGCAGTGTCTCTGAGCCGTCTGCTGTGGGGCCTGCTGTCTGCAGCCCCAGCAGTACCCCGTGTGCCTGTTGGTTTGGCGGCACTGGAGGACTCTCTCTTCTCTGTCCCATCTCTGAGTGTGTCGCTCCGGCAGGCAATGTTCTGTGAGCCGACTGTGTCGTGTGGAGTGTAGATAATATATTCGCTTCCCTCGTGGGACTTCTCTGTGATATTTATAGCTGCAGAATACTTTGCAGTCATTTTTATTAATAGTTACCAGATGTGTCATAAGGATTAATGAACTTATGATCTGAAATGTTTGAGCTCCTGAAATAGAGGCGATGCCTGCACAGAGGCGTAAAGAGCATTAAAATGCAAACAACAAGCATTTAGCTCTTATGTGTGAAGGGGAAATGGCGTGGTTAAGATTCCATACTCTGCAGACTTACCTGATGCCCTTAAAGAGGTTGCTGGACACATCAGAGGCCATCGCCAAACATGGACGGTCCAGTGCTGCCAGCCGCACGTGTGAGATACCGCCTTCTCCTCCCTCGCCCTCGCCCTGGGCGTTGTCTTGAACAAGTTGCCAACACAACCAGTTGTTTTGAGTGTTAATTGCCTTCTGTCTCTGAACTGCCATTTCTGTTTCCTTTTCCTCTTACTGTCCAACTGCAGGTCTGAGTAGCCCTCCGTGGGGCCACTGAACCTGCCTCTTCATGGATCTCTGTGTCCAGTGTCTCCTTCCTCAGGGCTGACCTCTGAAGCACAGTCTCACTGCCCTTTCATTTTGTGGCCTGTGGTGGCTCTCTGCTGCCCAAGAGATTCACCAGAGAGCGCACAGGCCTCCTGCCCTCTGTCCAGTGCTGGTCATTCTGGGAAGGCCTTTCCTCCCCAAGACCTGAAGGAAGGAGAGCTTTTCCAAGGTTGAGCTGAGTCCACAGAACGTCTCACAAACTGGGCCTCTTCTGCCCCCTGCTTGTCATGCTGCTCAGGCCGGCAGTCTGCGCCCCCCACCCCTGCAGGTGTTCAGGACACATCCAGTTATGATTCGTCCTTTGGACCCTTCTGCTTTCGACATTTCCACTCACAGGTTCTTTGCATCCCTGCTGCCTGCGTGCACACGCCCCGCCAAGGCTGGACAGTGCAGGCCTGGCTGGGCTCCTTGCTGCTGGTGGCACTGTGCAAGGCCCTGTGCATTCAAGCCCTGGAGATCTGTGTCGAGCGTCGGAACCAGTGTCACGTCCAGTCTGGTCCTTGAATTCATTTCAACAGATATTAGTTACCTCCTGGATTGTATAGTCACCCTGAGTCATAAGGAAGAGTGTAGACTGTGTTTCAAAGCTCTGTTCTAAAGGGGAAGGAGTGTCATTTTAGGAAGAGTTCCATCCTAGGTTGTCACCATTTCACCTTTAGTAGGGTTTCTATATTTTTATGCTTTAAGGTTTAAGCTTCACCTGGGTGGAAATGATCAACCACAGTTTTTTATCTATTTTAAGTCAGATCTAACTAAAGAATCTTAAGTGTTTTAGAGTTAGAGCATAAGAAACTTTACTTTGCCTTTACTAAGAAGTATGTACTGAATATTTACCTTCCAGTTTGCAGGGGACCTCAGATACTTGTGGGGAAAAAACTAGAAACAGAGCCAGCAGCCCCCACTCTAGGACTGTGGCTGGAGGGCAAGGTGCGTGCTGGACGCTTTCTGGTCCGTCAGGGAGTCCACGTGGGCAGGTGGCAGGGCGGGAGGGAGAGGAACAGAGTGTGGGGAGACGGGTGGGGTCACCAGCCAGACCCCGGAATGGTTAGGAAATGGAGGCAGCTGCAGTGGCCTTGCTGCCAGGTACCCTGCCCCTCCACCTTTCTGAAACACGCCTCTGAGCCCCTCTCCTGCCCCAGTGTCTGCTGGGTAGAGTGTGTGTGCTTATCGTGTCCTTCCACCCTCGAGCTGCGTCTCTGTGGTCTCCCGGATCCCCTCTCTTCTGTGCCCTCCCTCAAACCCTTTAGCAGAATCAGTTCCCAGTACCCCTGCTCGTCCACGACTGCCCGTGACAGGGGGCACCCTTTGCCATGTGTGGCTGTGTTGTGGCTGTGTTCGTGGGTTAACACCTGCTGAGTGGACCGTCTTGGTCCAGGAAGGCTCTTCTCCCTTCAGGCAAGTTTCAGCTTAGGCAGAGGGAAGTCGGGCATTGCTTAGGCCATGGGCCTGTAGTCAGTCCCGACCCTGTGGGTGCCTCAGGGCCCCGGGACACACAGGAGCCAGAGCACCTGGATGGCTTAGGGAAGAACAGGAAGGCTTACAGGTGGACTCTGTAGGGGAGCGGGACCTGCACCCACCCTGCCAGGACGGCCCCTCTTTAGGGCTTAGCATGCAGAGCTGGCTCCGTCCAGCACCTTGGAGCACCTTGGAGCACCTTGGGGGGCCTGGGAGGAAGCAGAGGCTGGTGAGCAGCTAAGGCAGGAGTGGTGGAGCCTGGTTTCTTCAAGTTGATGATTCTTCAAATCATCAACTCCTTTCCTCGTGGTCCCCCTGCGTTTTAAACCCAGCAGGTACAAAGTGACCGTTCGTTTCCATTTCTTCCTCCTGGCTTCCTTCTCCTTATCCTGGCTCTTGTTATTTTTTGATCTTCGTTCTGTATGTCCTTGGATCATGTGTCCATGGTGACCACGTCCTTTCTTGTGTGTTGCTTGTGTCCGTTAGTTCAGACTCTCGCCTCACACCTGCTCTGCTGGGGACCCTGGTTACCGATCTTCTCTTTGGACTTTAAATGCTTCTCTGGTCAGTTTGCATTTCACTGCCAGATTAGCCTGACATTCAGTGTCTTCTGCTTGCTTTGCTCAGGAATCGGGTGACCGCCTTCTGTCACCTAGGTAGGTTAGTTTCAGGCACCTAAGGCCTCCTGTAGTCACCCCTGCTCTCTCTGCTCCAGAGAGACTGGCTTCCTTCTCCTGCTTTCTTGACGCCTGTGTCCATGAGTTCTCCCTGGCCATCCCGTGTGGGGCAGCTTCCAGCTCCTGCCCGCAGTCTTTCTGGGTCTTTCCTGACCCAGTTACTTCTCCATGCAAAGTCTCACGCCACGTGTCTGCCCAGCACAGTCCTTGGTCGTGCTGTGTCTGCTGGGGCGCTCAAGCCTGTGTGCTGGCTGGCGGCCCTCGCTGGCTTAGTTGCTTCCTCTGTGGCCGGGAGCCCTGGCACCATGCACCTGGCTGGCCAGGTGCGTGAAGTTCCCAAGGGTTGTGAAGGTTCTCCCAGGGGCCCTCTGATGGCGTTCCGCTGTCCAGGGAAGACTTGCGCCAGTGGTCCCCCTGGTCCAGCCCCCTCACAGCATGCTTGTCTCCTCAGCCGGCGCCTCGGATCCTGGTGCAGCCAGCCTTCGCCGATGCCCGGGTGACCAGGACAGAGGAGGTGAGTGGCTCGGGGCTGGGGCTGCCCCAGCTGCTGTGGGCGGCCCCGACACTAGCACTGTTTGATGCACACCTGCCCTTTGTTCCTCTCGTTCCTGTTTTGATAGTGAACCCCAGTGCAGGTCACTGCTTCTCCCTCCGTGGCCCCTTCTGTTTCCACCCTGCTAATCGTGTGGCTGCTGGTGTCGTCTGTGCTGCAGTAGCCCACTGCTAGGCGGAGGGGCTTCTGTAAACAGAACAGTCTCCTTCTTCTCAGTGTTTGCTTAATTCTTGGTTTTACATTCCGTTCTGACTCAGGGTAGCAGCGTGCAGACGCTGATGCTAAGCCGGAGGAAGCAGTCTCCCGGTCTCCCACAGGCCAACAGCACTTGGGATCTGAGAGCCGAGAAGCTGCTTCCCCCACGTGCCGCCGTTCTCTTAGGAAATGCTCCATCTTCGTGGGGAAATTTTATTTATTAGAACAACAGCAGAAAAGGCCCCGTAATTCGGGAGGTGCTTCACACCTCCCGCACCCCTCACGCTCGAGGCCCTCTCACTGCGCTGCTTGGGGGTGTCATGACTCCCCGGGACGTGCCGAGTGGCCTCTCCCTGAGACTGCAGCGGTCATTCTGCCGAGCCAGGGGCTGCCCAGCCCGTGGAGGGAGAGCAGGGCCTCGTGGTGAGGACAGCCACCCACCCAGCTCCCACAGAGCCTCTGGCGGCTCTTTCAGCTCGGCCTTCACAGAAGTTTCTGGAAATGCCTCTCTTAATGGTCAAGGTAAAATCAAGAGATGGCAGCTGGGTTTCAAGTCACCCACCCACCGGGTCCAGTGGAGAAGTGCTGTGGGCCGGGGGCCGGGGGCCGGGGGGCTGGGGCGCAGTGGGCCACCTCTGCCCTCTCCGGTCTCTTGTTGTCACTTCACCTCCAGCTCCTTTCCCTTGTCGGGGCCTGGATGACCCTTCAGCCTTGCTGGCCACGGGGTAGAGTGAACGTGCTACATTCCTGCCTGTCCTTCCTCAGTGATGCCTGTGGCACCGTTGAGGTGACACCTGCAAACTATGGCAGCATCTCTGGACCAGCCTGGACCACCCCAGGCCCCCCGCTGGCCCTGAGCAGCCAGGGGTGGAGCTGTGGGGACAGACTCGGTGGCTGTTGAGGCTCTGCCCTCCTCTAGTCTGCGTATTCTTCCCCACTTGGTCAGTTATATTAAACCTAAAATACAGAAGAATAAATAAAACATGTACAAGTTGCAAAAGAAAAATGATTGAAGGATTGCCTAATCTCTTAGAGTATTTATGACGGTGACAGTTATTGATCTATTGGATTGAGTAAATTTTGCAGCCCAGAGATCCATCACAAAAATGGGCTGTTAATCTCAGGAGGTGCCGTTAATTTCATCCCCTGAAAGTGTGCCTTGTGGGGAGAGAAGGCCCCTGGAAACAGGAATATAAATGACAATCCACGGGAAAATGCGTGATTTATCAAATTGCTGAGTTAAGCCAAGTAACTGTAAGAGACTTATAGATCTCAGCCGTTTCCCAGTTCAAATAAATCCTGTGTTTCAAATGGGGAATGACCATTCCTGTAATATAAATAATTTTCCATAAATATTGGAAAACATATTTCTTTTTCCGAACAGCATCCCACCCCACCCAGCTCGCCCCATCCGCCTTCTCCCCGCACCGCCGTTCCTGCCAGGGCTTCAGTCACAGACGCAGGCCCCTCGCAGAGCTCGGAAACTGGGGTTTGGACGAGTGGTGGCTGTGGTCCTCCCCCGTGAGACCTGGCTCTGTGTGTGTCCTCTGCTGGGGACTCCGGGAGCCATGTGAAGAGAAGAGGCTGGCCCAGCCACCAGCAGCTCTGTCCTCCAGTGGCTCCTCTGGTCTTTGTTCCAGGATTAGAGGTCCCTGAGCCCCGACTGGCCCTGGCTTCCACAGCAGCCAGAAAAACAGCTTCTAAAAGAAAGGGCAGGCCGCAGGCCGACTCTGTCCCCCTCGTCCCCCTTGACCCCCTCGACCCCAACTAGGGTCAGCCCCTCCTGGTGCCGCACTGCTGAGCACTTTCAGACCCTCCAATGAGGTCATCACTTGGACTTTGCTGGGAAAGTGCTCTCTGGCCTCTTCAGTGCTTCTCCTGTCGCCTCGAGAGGCTGGTGGTGGGAGGGTCTGTTTCCACAGTGTCCGGGTTGCCACTGAGTGTGGGAGGCCACAGAGGCCGTGACGGGGCAGCAGGGTTTTAGTGTGCTACTCTTTGAGGCCAGGGGCTTTGCCTCCTGCCCTGCCTCTGGGTGGCAGGGATGGGCGTCTGTGTTTACATAAGGGTGCAAGGGACGGGCCTTTGCCATGTTGCTCAGTGCTCTCCCCAGCATCAGTGCTGTGCACACCTGGAGTAGTTGTGTGCAAGACCAGGGTTAGACTCAGGCTGCACTGTGGCCAGGGCTGTCCTGCCCAGAGCCAGGCCTGTTCCCTGGGGGGCCGCTCCCTTGGCTTGTGTTGGGCAGGTGCCACCTGCAGTTCTCAGTGGTGCTTCCCTCCTGCTGCAGGCCCGGCATGGCAGCCTCGGGCCTGGTGTGGCCTCTGAAACTGCGGCGCAGACGGCAGCCCTTGGGGCGAAGAGCTCCGAGAAACCAGCCAAAGTGCCTTCCCCACCGCCCGCCGCTGTGGTCACCCAGGTCCCGGAAGGGCAGGACGGCCCCCCCAGCCCCCTGAGTGAGGCCTCCAGCGGCTACTTCTCTCACAGTGTCTCCACTGCCACCCTGTCCGATGCACTCTGCCTGGGCCTGGATGTTGCTGTCCCTGCTGGCCAGACGCCTGGCTCCCCACCAGCCCCCAGCCAGGCTGCCCCGGAGGCTGGGCTGGCCTTTCCCTCCTGTGCGCAGAGCCACCCACCTGGACCTGAGGAGCCTGCTGCCCAGCCTCCTCCGCCTGCCCCCAGCAGGGACCCTGAGGCCTCCAGGGCCCTGTTGCTCCCTGACCCCCCACCGTTGGCACCTGTGTCCCCGTTCAGAATCCAGAAGGTGCGGACCTCGGAGCTGAAGTCGTTCACATGCATGCTGGGCGGTGGCTCTGGGATCCAGGAGGACCTGCTTGCCACAGTAGGGTCTGATGACACTGGGGGGCAGGCCCTGGGGACACCAGAAGTGGCCTCTGATTCTGAGGATACCAGTGAAGTCCCCGAGTGGCTCAAAGAGGGGGAGTACGTTGCTGTGGGCACCAGCAAGACGGGCATCGTGAGGTACGTCGGGCCTGCTGACTTCCAGGAGGGGACATGGATTGGTGTGGAGCTGGACCTTCCGTCAGGTAAGTGGTCCCTGGAGGGTGGCCGGTGGGGACAGGGAGGCAGCTCCACATTAGGTGGCACTGCGGGGGTGCTGGGTTCCCGGGCACAACCTGGCTGAGTCTCCCAGCTGTGGCTTCTCAAAACCAGGAATCTTCAGTAGATGAGTTAGTTTTCTTGTTTAACTTTGAACTTTCTAAGAAACCCAAGTTTGTCACTGAAAGCTACTATAAGTTCAGTAACGGTTTAAATGCTTTTTTTTGTTTGAGACAGGGTCTCAGGTGTTGCCCAGGTGTCCTCAGATGACCCTCTATCTCAGCCTCTGAGTAGCAGAGACTAGGGTGCATGCCACTGCACCCAGCACTTTTTTTTTTTTTTTTTAAGTTTCAGAGGCGCCTGCTTTTGAAATAGAAGGGCAGCTTGGGCTCAGGGCGCAGGCCCCTGCCCTCATTGGTTCCTGGGTTCTCTTGGCTATTCCTTGGACTTCCTGGCCTCAGTCCGCAGGTTGGGAGCTCTGGATGAGGTGACGAGGGGACCTGTGATCTGCTGCAGCCTCTTGGATCATGTGATTGAGTGTCAGATCTTAGAAGTAATGACAAGAACAGGGGCAAGACTTGAAGGTATATTTGACCTTCAAAAGTTTTTTCAGTATTATTTTTTTTAACTTTTTTACTTTTTATAGTTGTAGATGGACAGATGCCTTTGTTTATTTTTATGTGGTGCTGAGGATCGAACCCAGTGCCTCACACATGCTAGGCAAGTGCTCTGCCACTGAGCTACAGCCCTCAGTATTGTTTTAAAACAGCTTTATTGGGAAGCAATTCATATATTATAAGCTCTACCCATTTAAAGTGTACACGTGCTGAGCACGGTGGCATATACCTGTAATCTCAACAGCTCGAGAGGCTGAGGCAGGAGGATCACGAGTTCAAAGTCAGCCTCAGCAAAAGCGAGGTGCTAAGCAACTCAGTGAGACCCTGTCTCTAAAATACAAAATCAGGCTGGGGATGTGGCTCAGTGGTCAAGTACCCCTGAGTTCAATCCCCAGTACAAAAAACAACAAAATAAGGATTAAAAGGGTATTAGCAAATAATTCATCTACGACTAGTAACACATACTGTATTCAAGTTGCTAGATTCCAGACATACCTTGGTGAACAGAACAAAGCCCCTGATATAACTAGACTTGTATTTTTTAAAAGATTTTATTTATTTTGTTCCAGGGATTAAACTTGGGGCACTTTCACCTCGGCCTTTTGTATTTCTTATTTTGAGTAAGGGTCTAAGTTGCTGTAGGTCACCTGGCCTCGAACTTATGATCCTTCTGCCTCAGCCTCCTGAGTTGGTGGGCTTGCAACTCAGGAGGGGATTCAGAGGGGATAAAATTACCAAGTAAACAAAAAATTTGACAGTAATAAATGCTATGAAGAAAATAAAATGTACTAAGGGGTGAGGAGGGTGGGTGTATAGGGTACTTTATACTAAGCAGGAAAACCAAATGGATGAACAGAGGAGAAAGGTGGGAAGGTGGCCTTCGGTCAGGCAGGGTAGTTGTAGCCAAGGGCCCAAGTATGTGAACCTCAAGGCAGGGCCAGGCTCCAAGGCCGGCCACTGACACCATGGATTCTGTGTCCCTGCTTTGGAGGGTGTGAACAGAGTGTGGCTTGGAGAGAGGATGTGGAGCAGCCTGGCAGGGAGGTTGTGGCCATCCCAGGCGGAGAGGGCCCCCTGTCAGGGCAGGTGGGACCACAGCCAGAGGGCTGGGTGGCCCTCAGAAGAGACAGGGATGACCGCTCAGGTGTGACAACAGGCTAGATAAGGGGTCACTGGCCGAGTTGCAAGGACTCTGCTTTGAACGCACATGTTAGTTGCAGGCCAGGCCTGGGCGGCCTCCTGAGAGGCCCAGGGCCTGGCAGGTGGGCAGGCAGGCAAACCAGCTCCAGCACTGGAGAGTGGAAATGATGTGGAAGAGCTGGGGAAAGAAGTATCGAGGAGTTGTCCTCAAGCAGACTGTGCTGGCCAAGCCAGCTGCTGCGGTCGCCAGGAAGGCCGCTGCTGGTCCTGCTGCAGGGTTCTCACTCCTCCCGCCCCACCCCGCCCTGCACCTCCTCTTAGACGTGTTTTGTTGGCCCTCAAAAGGAAACCTTTGTCCCCCTTGTCCCTTCTGGGCACATGAGGCGTGGCGTCTGTGGGTCCCACCCTGTGGATTCAGGGCTGAGTCTTCCCAGTGCCGTTGGCCACAGTCGGCTCTGCTCACTCAGTGCAGTGACCTGTGCCCCTGGAGTGGCCGAGCCCGCTCTGCTGTGGCAGGCGCTGTGCCTGGGCCTCCCCACGTCCTCTGCAGGGCTTGTCGCCCGAGGTCGCGGGGCTGAGGGATGCCAGTTCTGGTGACCACTGCTCGCTGCCCGGGCAATGGTCACCCCATGCCCTGGTTCCTGCTGGACCAAGCAGGGCCTGAGCGGTTGGAACCAGGCTCAAAGGCAATCTGGGGTACACAGCAAGGGAGTGACAGGGCGCCCCTTTTTGATGCCACCTTTTCCTCTCCCTGGCAGGAAAGAATGACGGCTCCATCGGTGGGAAGCAGTACTTCAAGTGCAAGCCGGGCTACGGGCTGCTGGTGAGGCCCGGGCGCGTGCGCAGGGCTGCGGGGGCGGGGCGCAGGCGCAGCTCGGGGCTCCGGCCGCAGGGCGCCCCCGAGGCCCGCCGGAGCGCCACCCAAGCAGGCTGAGGGATGCCCTTTGCACGACACAGGGCCGGTGACTGCCCGTTCCCTGTCCTCCCGGCCCTGGAAGCTGGGCTTCTCCCTGTCCTCGGTGGCCGAGGAGGCCCCCAGCTGTGCCTCCCGGTGGCGGGTGGGAAGTGCGGGCCAGAGCCGGTGGTGGGACCACCGTGGGGGCCCGGGCACTCCGCCTGCCTGGGGGCACCCAGCAGGTCTTCCCCTCTCTTCTGGCACCCTGACGCCTTAATTTAAGGAGTGACTTTCCCAGCACCTGCGGGGCTCCCGCCTCCCGCCGGCCGGTGGGCCTGGCTGTCTCTGTCCCGCCTCCCCGCAGGGGACAAGCCCCCCTCAGGGCCAGGGGCGCGGCAGAGGGCGTCCCGCAGGGTCTCTGGGAGCCCTGGCTTCTAGACCGGGCTGGAAGGTCTTCTGTTTGCCATTGATTCTCCTAACCGGATGCTTGGGATGTATTTATTTATATTTATTTTTAAAATCTGAAATCACTGCGAGCTCAATCGCCCTCTGCCTGGGCTGGTGCTGGGCCTTCCTGAGTGCCCTGGCCTTTCTGGTCCTCAGACCCGGCCTCCTGCCTGGGCAGCGCTTCCTGGGGGAGGTGTGTGTGTGTGTGTGTGTGTGTGTGTGTGTGTGTGTGTGTG